AGGATCCCAGTCGCTCCCCAGTGACGCCTTCCCTCCTCCCGTCCCGAGGATACCGGCCGCTCCTTCGCCCCTTCCCAGCGCTCACCCCTGCCAGGGCTGGGAGGGGCTGCGAGGGCGGGAGCCGTGAGTCAGCGCCGCAGCGGGGGCGGCGAGAGCAGCCAGACTGACTCACAGCAGCCCCGAGGAGCCTCCCAGGAGCTGGGCGTGTGCTCCACCTGCCTGAGGGGGCCAGGGGCAGCAGAGCTTCCTCACCAGCCCTCCTGCACCCTCTGGCCTCTGCAGGGAGCCCACGAGGCAGGGGGATGCACCCGGGAATCCCACCTGCTCTGCAGGCTCATCCATGGGTGATGCCACCCTGCCACTGCCTCACAGCCCAGCTGCCCCCTCTCCCTGTCCCCACCTGAGTGAGGGGTAGATGAGTCCCCCACACCAGATACCCACCACCGTGGACCTGGACCGGTAGTAGGGCTGCACGACGGGGAGGCCCAGCGGTGTCACCCACTCCACCGTCCGTCCCGACTGGGCAATGAGCTTGGCGCTCTCTGTCAGCCAGTGCTGCAGCAGGGCAGTAGGGAGGGAAGTGGCTGGAGTTAGCAGGGGCAGCTGGGAGACCCCAAACCCCTCCCCCACAGGTCAGGTAAGAGGAAACAGGCACTTCACCTGGATATCTCTAGTTGCTGAGAACATCTCCTTGATGCCATTGAACACTTGCTTTACGAGGTAGTGAGATGCTTCCCACAAGTATTCCTGCATGGACCAAAGGCAGAGGGAGGGGTCAGGAAAATGCAGCAGAAGATGCAAGTGATGGGGACAGATGGCTGGGGGGTGTGATGGGAGTGGTCTGAGATCAGCACTTCCCAGGGCTCCTTGTCTGAGGACAGGCTGGGCTGTGCAATGTCCCTGGATGAGCAGAGGCTCTCACTGCCTCGTCTGCCCCGGGAACGGAACATGTGGCAGAAATGCTCCCAGGACCAGCCTGCCATGGGAAACCACCAAGGACTGTCTGATGGTGGGGTCACAGGGACAACAAACTGGCATCAGGAGAAGCAAGCCTCCAAGAGCAGCTTCCCGAGAGAAGAGCACAGCCACAGACAACTGACACACCAGCCAAGGCTGTGAAGCCACCAAGCTGGGCCCAGGAGGGATGAGGAGCAGCCCCACCTGAAGAATCCCTCCCACCCACAAGTGCTGGCAGGCCGGGATCCTACAGGCCTGGCACAAGCCATGGAGGGCTCAGTGCTGCACGTTCCTCTGCGAGCCCGGATTTGAGGGGTAAGGAGAGCAAGGCAGAAAGGAATCCCACTGCTGCAGGGCAGTGCAGCAGCCTCTCCCAGCAGGGACTGGGAGCTGAGCAGAGCCCCACTGGGGAGGCATGGCAGACACGGTACCTCGGGGAACTCGTTGATCTCCTTGAGCCGTTTCTCCATCTGGAGGCGGCCGCCGTAGCGCGTGACGCCGTAAACCACCGTCATCACTGTCTGCTTCACCACCTTGCGGCTGACGAAGCCCTGCAGCACCCGGGCGATCTTCACCCCCTGCTCAGCATCCTTTCTCCGGAACTCCTCCACCTGCCGAGGGAGCCCGGGAGGTCACCCTACTGCTGGGCCAAGCCCCCTCTACAGCCAGGGCCCCCAAGACCCCCGGGCTGTGTGTGAACCCACCAGCAGCCCTGCAGCCACCTGCACCAGCCCTGGTCCCCCCTCACCATCCGCTGAAGGAATCAAGAGGCAGCCAGATCTCAGAGACAACCATGCCCATGGGGACCAGAGCTTTCCACTGCTACCTCAGCAGTGTCACTTGGCAGCTGTGTGGTGAGGGACATCACAAGGACACAGCACTGGGGCTGTGGCTCAGGACTCAGGTTTTCCTGCCTCTGCCAGCCCCAGTGACAACTGTGGGCAAACCGTGCACTCCCTGCACGCTCCTCCCACCCAGATAAAACATGCAGAGACCTAGAAGAGCTAGGGGTTCAACACCACAAGCAAGCCTGGCAGCTCTCAGCACACTCCCCAGGCTCCTTTCACATCGTGTCTTGCCAAGAAAACAGACGACTTGGCAGCAGTGCCAACGGCTGCATCTCTCCCCAGCTCAAACCAGGAAAATGTCATAACCTGCAGGCTGGGCAGCTGTATACCAAGACATGAGAAACACTCTCTGCTCATCCATCTCTCTATCCTACTTCTCCCAGATTTCATTCAGAAGTAAGGACAGGAGAAATCCCAATGGATTTCTCATTTCTCTGTCAGAACAGATCTCCAGCCAGATCCCCACTGCTGCTGCTGCAGTGGTTCCCATTCAGGAAGGGAGAGACTCTGCCCGTGGCCAGCTCATGCCTTCCCAGCCCTCTGCACGATGGTCTTGCCTCAGCCTTTCTCCTTGGGAGCTGGAAAGACCCTGTGCAATGCACTGCCAAGGCAGGAGCTTGTCCAAGAAGACACCTCCCATGTCCTCACTGTGCCTCACCTGCTGGGCCACGGCGCTGTACACATCCTGGGGGACACTGCAGGGCATCAGGTTGACGGAGATGGCGCCGATCAGGTCGCGGCCGAGCGCTGCGTAGTGCTGCAGCCCATTGCAGGAGCCATCCTGCAGGCAGGGACACGCGGTGGGGACAGGGCCCTGCTCACCAGTACTGACACACCTGCTCAGGTTATTGCCCTTTGTGCACCCTCCCTCTGGACAGGGCTGCAGCTGATCACCCACGGTGGCCAGGGCTACACAGTTCCTATTTTCCTTCTGGCCAGTTTTCCTGTCTGAGTCTCATCACTAACTACTGATGCCTACAAGGCAGAAAAACCTCACATCCCACTGCCCCCTCTATGGACTTTCAAAGACATCAGAGCTCTGTGGAAAAAACTGAAAAACAGAAAATCTGGAAAGCAACAAATCTCTCTGGGATGCTGAAAGAAGCTCTGTCCCTGCTCAGCCCCCAACGTGCCCAGCTATCCCCTTGGGCAGCTCCCAGGCAGCTCTCAGATAGGCTCCGCTCCAGCCAGAGGAAGCAAAGCAGCACTTAACTGTGCTGGTTCATTCCTGCCTGAATCCAGCACCAAATTGCTGGAGTTCTGGAGCCAAAATGCCTGCAGATTGCACTCCTGCTCTTAAGAAAGCTGGGGCCTTGAGGTGCAGTAAGTGCAGTGCTGGAGACCTGGAGGCTCCTGCCCCGAGTTTTGTGCCCTGCCTGTTCTCTTGCCCCTGCATAGCCACATGGACCTGTTGAGCTCCCACCTGGTGGACTGGGAAGTGGGAGATGTAGGCTGCTGGATCTGGGGATCTCGAGGCTTTGGCAATTTCCATGCAGCACGCCAAGGCTTGCCAGGGCTCATCCGTGTTCATCCACCACTTCCTGCCCTGGGAACACAAAGCACGGGCTGGTAGGAGCAGGCAGGGCTCCTGTGGCACCCCAAAGCAAGGGCTGGAGCCCCTCTGCTCTTGGGATACACTGAGCAAGGCACCTCCTCCCACCGTGCCTCCCTTTCCCTAGGATTTCATCATGTTTTCAGACAGAAATGTGTTATTTAGGAAACTCTGCAATGCTTCATTTCCCCTTTTTTCTCTTTCAAAATGTCTTTGTTTCAAAAATCACTGTAATTTTAATTTTATTCTACTTCCTAGAAGCTATGCTAGATAAGAGGAATGGTTAAGTCTCCTCTGACACTGATCTGTTTATCCTTAGCTTATTTGGGCAATTCCTATTTGGACTCCAACACAGAGGAAGTGTTTCAGTTTGGTGATTGAAGGGGAACTCCCTACCTCCCACCATGTCCACCATTCCCTCAGGGGTCCCACCACTCCACCCTCAGAGCGGGCAGAGCCTCGTACCGTGAGCGGGTGGTCGGCTGAGTCCAGGATCTCCTCCATGATCTCGTTGGCATATTCCAGCCGCTCCTGCAGGGCGTTCTTCTTCTTCAGCCCCGTGAGGTTCACCAGGTGGATCTTCAGCCAGTCCAGGCCCTTGGGCCCCAGTGGCCTTCCCTCTGCAAACAGCAGGATGGCCCGGGTGACATCGTTACCCAGGTGGTTGAAATAGGGTGGGCAAGGGTAGGTCCTGCCTCGGAAGTCCATGTTGTGAGGAAACCAGAACACCTTGTCCCTGACGTAGTTGGCGATGGAGAGTTTGTAGAGCGCGTCCATGCGCAGGCTGTGCATTTCTGCTGTCTTCTTCTTGTACAGCAACAACTCATGCTTGTGGGACTTGCTCCAGGTAGAGGAATTGCCAGGAGCAACGGGAGGTTTGGGGGCCTCAGAGATGGGTGGTGGGATGTCCAGCTTCTCATTGCCTTTGTCATTGAAGATGGAGATGATGATATCCAGCACAGGCTGGTTAATCTTCCAGGCACAGTTGCCCAGCAGGTTCAGGGCATCCAGCACAGGGTGGAGGTTCACTGGGGGACACTGCTCCAGGAGCAGCTGGTGCTGGATGACCCCATCCACAAAGCGCATCAGCTTGGTGTCATTCAGGATATACGCCCCGAAGTGGGGGGAGGTCCAGGGTACTGGGGGGCACAGCATAGGTATGGCAGAGGAGTTGAAGGTCAGCAAGGTCTCTGCAGCATCTGACACAATCTGGGAGAAGATGGGATGGGGCTTTATCAGCCCAACCTGGAGGGGAGAATCAGAAAAGTGAAGGTCAGCAGCTGAGGATTAGGGCTGGAGTCTGGAAGAGGACATGATCCATCAGCCACTACATGATCACACCAAGTACGAACCCAGAGGCTCCTCAAGGAGTCCCTGCACAGGAAGGGCAGCAAGGAGGGAAAGGGCTCCCAGGAAGAGGTGACCTGCCCAGCCCCTGAGCCCCCTTGACATGGCTCACCTGCCAGCTGCTGTGGAAGGAGTAGACGTGGTAGAGGACAGGGATAAGTTTGGGCTCCAGGCGAGGATTGAGGATGTTCCTGGGCACCTTCACAGTCTGCACCAGGAGCTCCAGCAGGTGCATGCCCAGGCGCATGAGGAGCATGTATGGCCAGCTGCAGTCCCTCAAGTTCAGGGAAGGCCCAAAGCCTGATTCTGCCACCAGCTTCTCCCAGTATTCCCGTGGCAAGTACTCGTCAGGCTGGGAGGCAGAAAGAGGCAATCAGGTCAGCTGGAGGGGCCAGCCACACTGCTCCAGAGGGAGCAAAGCTGGGCAGGAACTATGTTCCTGAAAGGCCTGGGGGTGCCAGGACTGCCCATCCCAGGCATACCCACCTGGCTGTCCTTGGCCAGCAGGTGGATGTAGTCCTCATAGACTGCCTGCACCTTCTCCAGCTGCCGGCTGCGCAGCTTCTGCTGGGTGATGTACCTGTTGTAGACCTTGGAGCCCAGCTCCCTGGCCAGGACAGCCAGGGATTCTCCTTGTGGAGAGAGAGTGTTGAGGATCTGAGAAAGGGGAAGGCAAAGAGGGTCTTCAGGAGGGAGGAACGAGAGATGGAGCAGAGAGACAAAGCAGGAGTTAAAGACCCTGCGTGGGGAGCACAGAAGAGGTGGATTCCCATGATGATGAGGAAAAACACATCCAGGACAGAGCAGGGTGTCCTCTGGCTGCTCAGCACAGGGAGCAGATGGAGCCTGCAGTGAGTAACCCAGGCAAGCTTGGAGGGTCATGTTCTGATCCTGCTGGCCCAAGTGGGACACCAGTGCTGTGTGGCCACTGACAGGGCAGGATCTCACCTGCATCATGATGGCCACATACTCCTCATCTGGCAGCAGGCACAGGTAGGGGTACAGAGTGTTGTACCCTGGCGCCATCCGGAGCTTGGACATGCTGTGCTTGGACTTCTGCAGGGCCTGGAGGATGGAGCTGTGCCACTGGGAGCGAAGCGTCCCCAGCAGTTTGCGCTGCCCAGGAATGGAAGCAAGAGTGACAGTGTGGAGAGAGGGTGACACCAGGGGCGGCCCCCTCTTCAGATACCCCCCCTTCACCTCCCCTGGTCCCCAGGGCTGAACTGCCCCTTCCCCCCTGGGCTTTACCGCTTTCAAGGTTTGTGGGGTCAGAGGTTTGGTCGACTCCACTGACTCGATGGTCACAGTGCTGTTCAGCTCCATCTCCAGCTGCTGCTGGAAGCGCTTCTGCAGCTCTTGCACAGAGAAATCCAGCTTGGGGTATGACACTGTCCTCTCCTGCAACAAGAATGAGACATGAAGTGCCAGAGGAAGATACGAATCATTCTCTCAGTCTCCCTGAAAGAGGCACAAGCCCCTGCTGAAGACAATTCTGAGACCTTCAAGTCCAGAGTTCTGAGGTCTCTGGCTGCAAACCCCAGGGAGTCTGGAGCCTCTCCAGAGGCTGCCCTGCTCCTGTGTCACAGTCAAGCATCCCCCCCATGCAACCCCCTAGCACATGGAGGTCATCTCCAGCCCTCAGCTTCTGGGTTCCTCTGCAGGGCTGTGGGTGAGACTCTGGGCTTCCCCCGAACAAGGAACTGCCCGAGGATTTGTGTGGGCTATTGACCAGAGATTGGGCTGAAAAGTGCTTCCCATGCCACAGTCTTGGTCTGGACCTGAGGTCACCCATGAACACCCATTTGGGCAGCTCCACTGCCTCCCCAAGCTGCAGAGACATCTCTGAGCTCTGTGGCTTACTTTGGAGTAGAAGTCCTGGAGCAGTGAAGACTTGCAGGTCTGGGGGCTGGGTGAAGGGGGCAGTTGGTAGTCGGGCTGGACAATCCTGATGGCCCTCAGCACCATCTCCTTCTCATCTTCCTCAAACAGGCACTTTTGGAAGAGCTCATCCACATGGAAACCATTATTCTTCAGCTGCTGCAGACATCTGAAGAGGGGCAGATAAGATAGGCTTAATCCTTCACAGGGGACTGTGCATGTTGGGCAGAAATCAGCACATCATGAGGAAGGGAGCAAAGTTTTCAAACAGAAGCCTAAGCATGGAGACGAGAAGACTGTATCAGGCTTCTCCTTCCTCACTTGTGCCCTCAACAGCATCACCTGGATCCATGTGAGGACAGTACAGAAAGGGGCAAAACTGGGAAGCCCAAAGATAACAGATGCCTCAGTCCCTCAAGAGCTGGACTGCAGGGCAGGCTGTCCTGGGGGACACAGAGCTCTCCCTGCCCTCTGCACACAGCCAGGAGACAGCTGGCAGGGCTGGAGCTACCTCTGGAGCACAGCCTGTCCCCAGAAGGTGACTGTGCCCACAAGGTCACCGCTTCAGGTTACAGCCATCGATTTTCCACCCACACCTCTGCTGAGCAGGCAGCTTCCACCTTCACACCCGAGATGGAGCTTCACTGCCGCACTCAGACAGAGCAAAAAGATGCAGGTTCCTTCACTCCCAAATCCCCCCGCTGTCCTCTCCAGCCTGGGGCAGCAGGAGGGAACCCACAGGATGGTCACAGCCTGGGCAAGCGGGCAGGGGATGGCGGGTTATGGACTGAGCCAGGGCACAGGAGCAGGAGCAGCTGCAGCCCCAGCAAGGAAGCTCTTCCCTTCAGCCCCCATCACTGCTGGGGACCAGGAGTCCCTGCAGACACCAACACCTCCCACCCCTGCTTGGGGAGCCCTGGGGGAGCAGGCACAGCTCTGTCCACAAGCAAGGCTGTTCTCACCTCCAACATCCCTTTTCCTTCCAAGATCTCAGACAAACTCCCTAGCAGCTGGGGGTGACAAGGAGCAGCCCCTGTGGGAGCTCTGCCCGTGAGAAGCGGGTCAGAGCACCTAGAGAAGCAGCCAGGGCAGGTCCTCCAGACCCCGGCCAGTGTCTCCTCCCAGCCACCCCAGTGCAGCTGCAGCACGTTACCTCCAGACGGCCTGGGGGGGGGCCTGGCTCCGGCCCAGCCCCTCCAGCGCGGCGGTGAAGGAGCCCAGGCTGGGCCGCATCCCCACCGACTCCATCAGGCTGAAGAGCCACTTGACGCGCTGCACGCAGCCCTGCGGGCGAGAGGGAAGGGGTTGTGCAGGGACACCAGCAGCCCCAAACCACAGCCTCATTCTGCTCCCGCTCAAATTCAGTCACCTCTCCTGTCCCCCACCCCCTTCCTCTCCTCAAAGCCACCTCAGGAGCCCAGGCTGGGCCGCATCCCCACCGACTCCATCAGGCTGAAGAGCCACTTGACGCGCTGCACGCAGCCCTGCGGGCGAGAGGGAAGGGGTTGTGCAGGGACACCAGCAGCCCCAAACCACAGCCTCATTCTGCTCCCGCTCAAATTCAGTCACCTCTCCTGTCCCCCACCCCCTTCCTCTCCTCAAAGCCACCTCACGGGGCTCTCCTCCCAGGAGCCCCGAGCCAGGGGAGCATCTCGGTACCTTTCTCGCCCAGCTGCGCATCACGATGTTGTAGGCATTGACATCCAGAAGCCTCCTCTTGGAAGGGGAGCTGTGGTACAAGAGGAGGAACCTCTCGGCCTCCTCTGGCTGCTGCAAGAACAGGAAGCACTGGAGGTTGGACTGGATGGTCTGCTGCAGGATCTTCTGCTGGTTGTTGTCCTTCTCTTCCCGCACTCTCCGAGGTCCCTGTGCCTTCACGCCCTCCTTCCCTGTGGCCACCCTGAGCTTGCCATGGGTGTAGGTGCTGCGGGAGCCAGCCTGGCTCTGGTTCCAGGCAGGAGCCACTTTGGTTTTCGGGATCTTCTGGCTCTTCTTGGTTTTAGACTTGGCTTTTGCCTTGCCCTTTGGTTTGGCCTTGACCTGGTCCTTCAGAGTCAGCTGGGAGGCAGCGAGGGATAATTTCCGCTCCACCTTCAGCTGTCGGATGTACATCTCCTTCTTCAACTTCTCGGCCCAGCTGCTGGGCCGGGACAGGCTCTTCTCCCTCCCCCAGGGAGCAGGTGGCTCCTCCATGGGGCTGGGAGCCACCTCGCTCCGCAGCGGGTCCTGCAACTTGTCATTCCCCAGCAGGGACAGCTCCTGTTTGTTGGCTGTCACCTCTGGGCCGTTACCAGCTTGGAGCTGCTTCACTCGAGCCTTCAGCACTGCAGGGAACACAGACAGGGAGAGGTGAAGGACACAGGCTGCAGGTTGTGCCCCACCCCAGGGCCTCACCTCTGGGAGCACCCAGGACAAGGGGCCACTCCAGGACTCCCTCCCTCCTCCAGCACCAGCACAAGGGGAAGACCACCAGCTCATGCTGGTCTAACCAGCTGCCCAGACACTTTCCAGCACCTGTCTCCAAGGACCTTATATCTTCACCCACCTGGGCAGTGTCCAAAACCAAAGAACATTCCAGGTGGCTCTGCAGGGTCCTTGCATGCCCCAGGGGGACTCTTCTACCCTCCCTCGGGACCCCCCTGCAATCTACAGCAACTCAAACCTCCCTGAGCGGCCTTCAGGTCCTTAACACAGGACAAAACGTGCTCAGGGAGGCCCGTAAGTCCCTGGGAAGCCCCATATCCTTGCTCAGGCTACAAGTATTTCCAGTCCCTATCCTAATTAATCTCTTATTTTCTAAGGAAGCATCCTAGAAAACCTCCCATGACAGGGAATATGGGAAAGCTCTGCAGGTCTCCCCAGCTCACCTTCCAGCAGCTCCGTCCTCTCACAGACGGGGCTTCTCCTTGCCTTCTCCTTGGCACTGGCAGAGGAGTAGTTCCTGAGAACACTCCATGGGATCCCTGCAGTGGGAAGACACAAAGGAGGTCAGAGGAGGCTTCACCCCTTGTACCAATCCCTCCCCCAGCCCTGCCCTATGGCTGGGCCCCAGGGAGTGGCTGCAGGTCCCACAGCCTCAGCAGCAGAGCACAGAGGGGTGGGGGCAGCTCTGCGACTGCTCTGGGACAGGGTGAGACCCTCTTACACATGGGTTTGATCTCTTGACCCCAGGGACACCACAAAGCCCCTGGCAGGACCCCCAGAGCAGGAAGACTCCATCCCACACATCTGGAACAGAGACCCCTGTTTCTACCCTTAACAGAACAACAGTGCCCCAGGACACTCACAGTCCCCACCTACATCTCTGGCTGGGGGCTCATGACACAAGAAGACCCTCATAACCCCCAGCTCTGCCCAAGCAGAGGGTTCGGTGCCAGGGACCCCCCACTGCCCCCAGCTGGGTCCTGGCGGGGGGGGGATGCTCACGACCCCAGTGACACCACAGCTCCAGTTCCGTCCC